ACTAACACCTCTCCCAGCAGCAGCCTCAGCTTTCCCAGGAGTCTCCCCCTCCAGGTGCTGGCCAGGCTCACACCTGCTGAGCTCCAGTTGGGCTGGCAGCTGGGAGCTGCAGGGTGACACACCAGTCTTATCACAGAACACACACACACTCACACCAGGTCCAATTTACCTACCAGTGTGTCCTGAGACTGTGGAAGGAGGCTGGTTCACCTGGAAGTAACCCACGCCAAGATGGGGAGAACATACAAACTCCACAAAGACAGCACCCTGGGGCCCCAGAGTTGCAAGGCAGCAATGCTGACTGCTGTGTCACCCTGCCACCCCAACTCCTATCTAACACACTGAAATAGAACAGTGTTGTGCATGGTGGTGGTGCACTGTAACTCTCAACATATGTTCAGCCCTGGGAAGCTGTTCATGACTTCTGAGCTAAAACCATGTACTGTACAGCACAGTACCTTAACACTGACAGTGAGCCATTAAGCTGACAGTTTATCTTTAATCCCCTGAGGCTGTGCAGTATAGTGGGTAAGTCTCTGGTTTCCTAGCAGGTAGGTTGCGGGTTTGAGTCTCTGGTCAAGGATTTCTAAGGGAGATGCACTCAATATCCCCACCATTCAGAGTCAGAAAAAGAGTTTAATTTAAACCTCTTAACTTTTCAGCTTGTGAGCACCAACCCCTTTGAGACACATCAAAACGAACTGAGCTCTTACCCAGCCGATATGGAATACGAGCTAGAAAGTGGGAGGGCTCAAGTTTAATCATCACCTCTCCTTTGTACTAATGTATCAAAAGGCTGCAGAAACACACTCCCTATTTCATGATGCAAACTGATATTAAATTCATATCAAAAGGCGGAGGCTGTTTTTACACTTAAAATAATTGACAGTAAAACAATGTGGAAATAATTCAAAGCCATCTCCTTGGACAGAAGAGCTCCCCTCTTTCCTGACTAGACTGCAGCACAATTCTGAGCTTCTGTCATCAGTCTGCTTGCTGATGACATGAGCTTGGTTCTTGGTTCACTGATGGACAAAGCACACAAGAAAGCTGTGAGACATAGAGGTAGGCATGATCCCAATTCTGGGATAGTTCTTCCCTAGTAATGCGCTGCCTTTCCGAGACAAACGTCCAACGAGAGATTCGCAAAATCCATCTCCGAGGGTCAGTAGGGGCACGACGTCGCGCTACGTGTAGCTTTCAGCGAAATTAAAACCAGCAACTGTGACACTGCGACCGGCGAAACGCGGTGTTCAACTGACCTGAGATCAAGACATGAGGAGAAGCTTCTTCAGCTGAGCGCTGCCCTTCACATCCTCCTGCCTGGTGGCGATATCCACAGAGATGCCGATGGCTTCTCCTCTGAGCAGGGAAATTTGCAAAACGGCGTCATCCACCGCCTGGGCGCTCCTGCGCTCCGAGAGAGGCAAATCGCAGACTCGTTGTGAAAACAAGGCGGATCGCTGGAAACTCAACAAAAATCTCCTTGCTTTTTTCTGCTAGACCCTCTCATCTGGCATGGAAGAGAGCCGTCACAAGGAGCACTTTTTTTTACAGGCTAGTTTAACTTCAGACTCTCAGACCACAGCTCGTCAGGCACCGCTGGGAGATCGCTGTCATTTTGGACTAGCCATGATGTCCCGGACCCACTCGATCAACATGTTCTAAGGCCATGCAACCTAACCCGCACTAAGGCCAGCGTGGGTTTGAAAAACATCAGTCAACTGTTGAGGACTTACACATCCCAGAATAGGTGGAATCTTTAAGGGTTTTTATAAGAACTAACAATAATGTCCATCCAATTACTTTCTGGACCCTCCACTCTGAGCTCTTCCCAGGTCAGGGGGAATCCCACTACCCCCACCAGTGTGCAGCCCCACCTGGATGATGCTCCAGTCCTCTCACACACACCAGCTCTCAGTGGGGAGGAGAGCAGAGGGATGGAGCCAGTTCAGAGAGGGGGGTTATTAGGAGGCCATGACTGGTACCCATGAATGAAACCCAGTGTAGCAAGGTGAACATATGATTTCAGACATAACTTTTCCAGTCGTTGCATAGACTTATACAAACCTAGTTCTTGCAGCCCGG